TGGGGAAGAGCCACAAGTTGCACAGTGCCAGGTCTAGTGAATAAGGTGGATGAGGACACACCATAATGGTTTTTTTTAAAGATTTTATTGGGGAATTGGGGAATGGGAACAGCGTTGGGGAATCCAGGGAAGGGGGAACAGACAAGTTGCTGTCCTTTTGTTCTTCAGTCTAGTTGTGGAGGACGTTGCTTCTCTGGCCCATGTTGGTATTACCATTGCGCTTTCCTGGGTGAGGCAGATCGGTCGCCGTCCTCTGGACGGCTGCTCACGGTGGCTCTTGGCAGCTCACACCAGCTGCCAGCTGCTCACGCTGGCTGCCAGCCACACACGGTAGTTTATGGCAGCCCACTGCAGCCTACATCGTCGCTGGCAACTCACGGCAGCCCAGATCCAGGTTGAGCTGCTGCTCACCATCTTAGCTGTAGAGGGTGCACAGCGTCACTGGCCCTCATGTGGGATCCGAACTGGGCCCTGCTGCTCAGAGCTGGCGCCCCAAGCCAGCTCTTAACCAATGTGCCACTCGGCCGGCCGGACACCATAATGTTTTTAATGACAGAATTTGCCATATCAGAAGTGATGTGTGACACAGAGCATTGTGATGATGGAGGATGAAACCGTTTGCCCATTGCTTCTTAATGTGATGTTCATGATCCACGATTTATGGCACACTTTAAAACACACCTTCTCTCAACTGTAGCTCACATGTGACTGACTGCACCAAAAAAGTTGAAACTTGTCACACACTGTTACTAAGGTTCTACACACTGTTCCCCTTATTGAAGATCCCCGCCTTTCCATTGGATGGCACTCAGCAGCAGCATTCACCATTGCTTTTTGATCACACCTCGTATCTTTCCATTTGTCCTTCCTCTGACATATTCTGTCAGCTGCCTCCACCACTGTCTGCTGTCTGGAAATGCACTAGTTCAACAGTATGTCAGGCTGGGATGTAACTGATGGTAAGGCAGGTTTTTCTGCTGTGTATGGGCAGCTTAGGCCGACAAGTGTAGGAGAAAGCCTGAGGAAGTATAGGATGTGAGCAGGTGTGCTTGGCTTCTGATTAGAGGAAGCAAAACAGATTCTATTTGATGAATATCGAATTGAAGGAAATGATAAAGGGTGCTACCTAATGGTCATTAAAATTGTGACTTGGTTTAATTTCACCTCAACAGTTTTTCTTCTAATCCTTAGAGCCCAAGGCTTATACTCTTGAGCCCTTGTTTACTTCGAAACTAAACTTGTTCAGTTTGTATGAAAGACATTGCTTAGATTTGACAGTTTAATATGTAAGAAAATACTCTGAGATTCAGAACTTCAAAATGAAGTTTCGATTTACCATTACTTGACTGGATGACTTTAATGGAATTATGTCTTGTAAAACTGTTTAGCGTATTTCATGTTTCAGAATTTTGCACAGTAACCTCAATATCCTAGAGCAGTTTGGCATTGGTTTTTTTTTTTGAGTCTTGTAACTTTAATTACAAAAACAGAAAATCATGGCAGTATTCCTTATAAGATTAACTGAAGAATATTGTGAGGACCTGAATAAAACATTAGTTCCAGTAATGTAGTGCAATGTTGGGTAAAGGCAAAGGTGACTTACCATTTGACTCTTTTAAGATTAGCAGTAGTGATCACAGAACACTAGATAAAAAAAATTATAGCTGCTTTTTAAAATGCATGTTTAATGTACCTTAAATAATTGGGTAGGAAGTACCAAGATCAGACTTTGCCCTCAGACCTTATTTCAGGTTCACCCTGAAGGTTTGATGGAAGTTGGCTTTGTTTCTTTGGCTGCTGCTGAGCAAAAATGGAGTATGCAGAAAATAAGTTGGTGAGTCCTCAAGAGACTGAACATAGAATTGCTATATTACCCAGCAATTCCATTCCTGGGTATATATACCCAAATAATTAAAAACAGGTGGTCAAACAAAAACTTATACATGAATGTTCATAGCAGCACTATTCACAATAGCCAAAATGTAGAAACAACCCAGATGTCCATTGATGCATGAATAGATAAGGAAAATGTGGTATATCTGTACAGTGGAATATTATTCAGCCATAAAAATGAATCAAATACTGATACATGCTACAACACGGAGAAACATGAAAACATTATGCATAACAAGAGAAGCCGGACACAAAAGACTATACTGGATGATTCCATTTATATGAAATATGAAATACCCAGAATTGTTAAATCTGCAGAGATAAAGCAGATTAGTGGTTGCCAGGTGGGAAGAGGGCTAGAGGGAAGGAGGAAAACGCAGTGACTGCTTCTTTGGGGTGCTGAAATGTTTTGGAACTAGATAGAGGTGGTGATTGCACAACATGATGGTACTAAATGCTAATGGTGGCAGCCACTTGAATTCTGCAAGATAAGGCTTGCACTTCCCGGTTGGGATTGCTGGTACCGGGACCTGCCTCGCTTGGTGCAGCGGGCACAATGGCAGCCACTCTGGGGCCCTTAGTGTCCTGCATAATGGAGAGCAGTTTTAAGTCTGGGGCAGCTTGTTTGAAACTCTCACATCAAGCCATGGAAAGCCATGGAATACTGAGCCTTTTAAAACCCAAGCGTACAGAAACCCAGCAGATATAAACTTTAACTGCAGTGAGGCCAGGATAATTTCAGTTTATCCAATGAAAGGGAAAATAAACTTTTATGATCTGTTGTTGCTAGAATAAGTTTAGAATAAGCTAGAATAACCAGTACCTTCAGTTAGTTAAAGGTATGTGGAAAGTTTCTTGTCATTGCCGCACACGTTCTTTTTCCTGATCCTTGGGTGCATGCCACTTGTTCTTCACACCATTTCCTACCCTCAAAAGGAAAAAGCTTTCAAGTGCTTGTTTCTCTGATGATGAAAGTAATATGTGATTATTACAAAAATTTTGGGAAAAGCAGACACTATATATATATATATATATATATATATATATATATATCTCAGCAATCAGGGATAATGCTATAGATGTTTTGGCATGTATCCTTCCAGTCTTTTTTTCTATGAATATGCATGTACCAGTATCTTCAGTTTCATCATACTACATTTATCAACATAGCATGGACGTCTTTCATACCATTATTTTATTGTGGTAAAAGACACATAACATAAATTTACCATCGGTGGCATTTAGTACATTCACAATGTTTTTGCATGTATGAAGACTGATTATTCCATGACCAGTTTTATAAATGAGCTCGGGGCTTTTCTTGGAGTAATTTCTCTGTGGTCACTTAGTCATCTGTCAGAGATGGTTGGTGACTCAGGGTTTCTGAAATTATTTTCTCTTACTTATTTATGCTGGTCAGTCATAGCCCTCAAAGCAGAGGTCATGGACGGTAAAGGGAATAGAGGCCTGTATAAAATCAGCTCAAAACCCACTGCCTTTGGGAAGTTTTCCCTGATTAAGCTGCAGTCCATCCGGTCAGTCTGTCTCCTGTGTCCCAACAGAAGAGGAGCAGAATAGAACGCAGGAGCTTGGGCTTTGAAGCCAGACTGTGAGTGTTCACATTCTGGCTTTCTTGACATTGGGCATATTCCATAACATTTTTGTGCCTCAGTGTCCTCATCTGTAAAATGGGGATAATAGTACACCTTCTGGGCCAGATGAGATGATTCATGCCCAAAGTACCCGGCAGCACAAGACCTGGCAAATAGGTAGTACTCAACAAATGGACAGGTTTCTTATTACTCAGTTCATCCAAGTGGCCTTCCGAGTTTGTGGTATTGAGGACTCATTGGTATGCTTGGACAGCCCAAATAGATTATAGACCCTGAAAAGTTTCTGTTTTCCACACAGTGAGCCTCCGGCCAATATTACTGATTGACTATTTGAACCAAACTGAGTTGCTGCAGTCGTGGGGTCTTCCTGGTTGAATTTGGCCTTCATGTCCCATTAGAAAAAAAAACCAACCCAGAAGCAAAGCGAAACAAACAAAAAAGCCCCCCAAAATCCCGAGAAGTGAATGTAGGTGAAATGCAGTTCTTTCAGATAGGTCAATATCGTAGCTGTTGGGCTTTCCTATACTCTTACGAAAATTCTTGACTAGGAGAGCTTAGAATTATTAAATGATAATTATAATGACAAGAAATAAATAAAAGAACTAAAAGGCATTATTATGAAAGACCAGTCTACAGCAGAAGAACCAATAAAATCTTTTATTCCCTTATTTATTTGTGATTCTTGGGAACAGAATTATTTCCAGTAAGTAAATTTTCTAGACGGTGGAAGCTTATTCGTTTAACCAGCATAACAGTGTGCATTTTAACTATTTTGATGTAATTCTTTCTAATGTATGTTGTATGGTTTATGGCTTTCATATAGAGAAAAAATAATTCAGCCAATTTGTTAGGCTTTGACTCTTCATTGCTAATATGTTGTTGTCATTTTTTTTTTTAGCTCTGCCAAATAATCTCAGTGCCATTTGCCTTCTAAAGACTTAGACAACTGAACCCTTACTCAGCTCTTTTTCACATTTAACTTTTTCATTTTTTCCTCATTGGCAGGATGTGTCAGTTTTTACTTTTTACTACAGAAATGTGCATAATTGCTTTCCCCATCTCCAAAACACCTTTCTAATTTACTGATTTATAAATTTTATACCCTGGGAAACCAGATCCCCAAGTCTCTTACTATTTTGTATAGAGTAAGATTAATAGGCATTGAATGAAGTCATGTATTTAGTGACAGGTTTTTTGACCATTCAAGCACTTAAAAAATTTACTTCCTAGTTGCAGCCCTGTTATCTGGTAGAAGTTTGACTCTGGGCAAAATGCCATTTTATTTATAAGCTGTAGTGCTTATGTTTTTCCATTCTAGCACTGGTGTCTTCCTGCTGCTCCTAAGCTTAGTACAAAAATTAAAGAAAAATAATCATCTGTCCTCTATACAGTTGGTAAAAGTTTTATAAAATGGGGTTTGGATATTTTTAATATAAAGAGAAGTAAAATATTCTTACATATAGTTACATGAGTGTTTTTTCACTTTCTTTACAGAGACATAGTGATGACTATCGCTGCTGGAAAACTCATAGAACAAGAATTTGTAACCATTGCACGTCACTACAGGGTGCCCGATGACCCTTGTCTAGACATGAATGTCCTTATTGCAATGGCCCATGAACAGCTCAAGAAAAATAATTTTGAGAGTTTTGAAAGACTCATTTATAGATGTGTATACCAAGATCGAGAAAAGTAAGCTTTTATTTTATTGATTCTAGTAAATCATTTAAGTTTTTGTGAACCTGAGTAATAAAGGAATTTATATTTTATCTAAAAGGGCAAAAAGAAAATTGACATTGTCTCATCATACTCCACTGTTTAGCAAAGCCACCTTAAGTCATTTTTTGGAAAATATCTGGGGTAAAAGTATTTCATAGTGATGGTGAGCTTTGTTTGTTGATGGAATAGAGGAAGCCCTGTATCTTCAAAAGAATAGGATGCTCCTTTGCATTTTCTTTTAATTGGTTTCTAGAAGCTTTCAACTGAAACATAGCAAATCAAGATGTTAGAAGGTTTAATTCTGAGATGTCTTCTTATTTTACTGATGACAGATTTATAAATGTGACTTTTATGATAAACAGAACAGGAAATTTGCAAATAAACTTTCCATAGAATTTGAAATTATTTCTTCTTGAAAATAACAAAGCTCAGCATAATCTATTTCTAGTACATTTATCATGTTTGTATTGAGCTTTATTAAGTCATTAAGTCATTGTTATAAATAACTGGAGCCCCCATCTTAATGTTTTGGTGTTCATCTTACCTACAGACCTGATACAGTGGGGTCCGGGGGGAATTACTCATCTGGAGTTAGAAAATCTTAGTTTTAACTCCAGCTTCTAATTTTGTTACTACACACCACTGCCATCTCTCTTCCCCATGACCCCTTCCCTTTTCCTCAAACCTGATGTCTGCACCCAAATGGCCAGCTTCATACCCTAAATATCTTTGAAGGTCCTGTAGTTTATTTTATTAATTAACATGTTTTCCCCCTAATCCAAGTATATCCTCATGGAGTTTTTATAAACATGGTATTTTTCCTTGAATCTTTTTTTTTTTTTTTTTAAATTGTCATTTTGGTTTTGTGACTTCTTTTTTTTTTTTAAAGATTTTATTGGGGAATTGGGGAAGGGGAACAGGGTTGGGGAATTGGGGAAGGGGAACAGCCAAGTTGTCCTTAAATCTTAGTTGTGGATGGTGCAGCTAGCTCAGCTCCAAGTCCAGTCACCATCTGGCTGCCCATTAGCAGCTTGCGGCCCTGTTCAATCTTGGTTGCGGGTGGGTGTAGCCCACCATCCCATGCAGGAGTCAAACCGGAAACCTTGTTGTTAGGAGCACGTGCTCTCACAAGCTGAACCATCCTGCCATCTGTTGGCAGCTCAGCAGCAACTCAGCTCGGGCGCAGCTCACTGGCCCATGTGGGAATCAAACTGGCGACCCTGTTGCTCAGAGCTCTCACTCTCAAGCAAGCTCTTAACCAACTGAGCCACTCGGCCGGCCCTTTCCTTTAATCTTTAAGCTTACGTGAGCCTCCCAGGGGATGTGTGGCCTAAGCTTTGCCTGACCCTGGCTCTGCCTTCCACCCTGGTGGTACCCCCTCCCCAGGGTGAAAAGCGTGTCCCTCCTTCTCTAAAGGAACACCTCTCAGAATAATGGGGCTGCTTGATCAGACAGCTCTGAGGTTCTTCCAGATAAGACAAGCTTTAATTCTAGACATAAATATTCTCTCATCATCTTATAATTTCATTGCAAAGAAAGAAGCCCACTTTCTTTCCTGTTGGTTCTAATTTTGCCTGTCACCGAGAACATTGACTGAGTAAGTGTATTGGAAAAACACTTCTGTGCCCCCAGCACGCTGGGGAAAATGACTTTTTGGCTGCTGTGGAGAAACCATCTTACAAAATTGGGGTGAATGTTAATACCCCAGCTGGGCCTTCTAGGTTGTAGGCTTTGAGTCCAAGGAAAAGACTAGAAAAACACGCTCAAGTCATATAATACTTGCATTGGAGGCTCTAGATGCCTCTTAAATTAATGGGGGACAGTTCAAGGAATGTAATTGATAATGTGAATATTTTGTAGGGTGTCAGGTGGTCACATGTCTTGCATCATGGATGGGGAAGAGGCTTGATCACTGCACTGTACACCTGAAGCTGATGTTGTATAATATTGTATGTCAACTATAAGTGAATATATATATATATATACACACATGTATATATATATGTATATATATGTATATGTGTATATATATATATAAATATATATAGTCATGGGACGTGGAGTATAGTGTGGGAGTGGAGTCAAGGGATTTGTAATAGATATGCATGATATTGGGGGGGAAATGGGGCAGCGGATTGGGGGAGGGGGGTTGTCACTTCGAGGGGTAAAAAGTATAACTATTGCACTGTGTTGTACAGCTGAAACTAATTCTAAAAAATGTGTATTTCATAATAAAACATAATTTAATTAAAAAAAGAGATGTTCTCAACTATCAGGACCATTTTGACAAGTGGTCAAGACTGAAGATCAATTACTTAGAGCAACAATCTTGGCTGCAGCCTTAATAGGCTATACCAGGGGTTGGCAAACTTTTGAGACGGAAGAGCCAATCCTGTCCCTCACAACAATTTTAAAATTATTCAAGAGCCATAAAACAAATGAGATCACCATTATGTGAATAATATGCTTGAAAAATTTTGTAAATGAAGCTATGATAGTTTTTATTTTCAATTTTACTTCAGAGCCACATGTATGCACCCAAAGAGGCGCATGTGACTTGCGAGCCACAGTTTGCCGACCCCTGGGCTATACTATCACCAACCAAGGATCTGAATCTTGATGGAAAGGCCTTTGTAAGGACAGAATCTGGTAACTTCAGAAATGGAAACATTTGATGAAATGCAATATGACTGTTTTTCCTTACTGTGAATTCCAATACCAATTTTCATATGCACAGTTTTAGAAAATAATGCATTTTCATTCCTATAGTATACAATTGTTACTCTAGAGAACCAATGTGTATGAAAGCTGTTTTATTTTGTTTTAATCCAGAAAAAATGTATTGCCCAGCAAAGACATCAGAAGACTGTGCAAGTCCTGCAGGTTACCTTTGATTGATGATCTTCTAGGATCCTTACTGTCCATGTAAGTGAAAGCTGGACCTTTCATGGGAATTGTCCTGCATATTTTTGTTTGGGGTACTATTCCTGGTTTTACATTTACCTTTAATTACCTTTGATTTACCCTTGACTGTTTTTTTTTTTTATTGGGAAGGAGAACAGTGTTGGGGAATTGGGGAAAGGGAACAGCCAAGTTGTTGTCCTTCAACCCTAGCTGTGTAGTGCGCAGCTAGCTCAGCTCCAAGTCCTGTGGCTATCCGGCCACTCATCGGCAGCTCGTGGCCACTCGGGTGTCGTGTTCAATCTTGTTGCGGGTGGGCATAGCCCACCATCCCATGCTGGAGTTGAACCAGCAACCTTGTTAAGAGCATGTGCTCTCACCAGCTGAGCCATCCTGCCACCTGTTGGCAGCTCAGCGGCAGCTCAGCTCGGGCGCAGCTCACTGGCCCATGTGGGAATCGAACCCGCGACCCTGTTGCTCAGAGCTCGCACTCTTAACCAACTGAGTCACTCGGCTGGCCCTACCCTTGACTGTTTTGATTATATTATTGAGGACACACCTCCGTTTAACTATTACAAAAGGAAAAGTTAGTTATGATTTTGAATGTTAGAGAGTCTATTATGAATTATTATTTTATCTTTTTAACATTAAGACACATTTGCATACACACAGGTTCCTGGGACAAAATGGAAATGTACAACTTCATTGGTTATAAGGGTATTAGATGTAAAATTCAGGCTAGATTTTTCTTCCTTGTTATTATTTTTTATTAACTTCAGGTATACAAAACAACATAGTGATTAGACATTTACACCCTTCACAATGTGATAACCCCAACAGGTCTACTACCCATCTAACATTGTACATAGTTATTACAATACCATTGACTATATTCCCTATGCTGTACTTTACATCACATGACTATATTTTTAAATTATACTTTGCATTCAATATTATTTTATATTAGTTTCAGGTGTACAGCATAGTGGTTAGACATTTATATAATTTATGAAGTGATTCCCCCCAATAAGTCTAGCACCCACCTGGCACTATACATAGTTTTTACAATATTATTGACTGTATTCCCATAATGTATTTCACATTCCCGTGACTATTTTGTGACTGCCAATTTGTACTTCCTAATCCCTTCACCTTTCTCACCCATCTCCTTAAAACTTTCAAATCTGGCAACCATCAATTTGTTCTCTGTATCGATGAGTCCGTTTCTGTTTTCTTTGTTTGTTTATTCTGTTCTTTAGATTCCGCATATAAGTGAGATCATATGGTATTTGTCTTTCTCTGTCTGACTTATTTCACTTAGCATAATATTCTGTAGGTCCATCCATGTTTTCACAAACGGTTGAGCTTTCACTCTTTTTTATGGCCGAGTAATACTCCATTGTATATACAGATGTATACACATGTTAAGAAAGGAAAAAACTGTATTAAAATTATAATACTCAATATATTCCAGTAACAAGGGATGAATACAAGTCACATGTATACATTTTTGGGGCACCCCTGGTATGTACCACAATTTCTTTATCTAATCGTCTATTGATGGGCATTTTGGTTGTTTCCATAGCTTGGCTATTGTGAATACTGCTGCAGTAAAAATAGGGGTGCATATATCTTTTTGAATTAGTGTTTTGTATGTTCTTGGATAAATACCCAGGAATGGAATTGCTGAGTCATAATGTATTATAGTTCTATTTTTAATTTTAATAGAACCTCGAAACTGTTCTTCATAGTGGCTGCACCAATTTGAATCCCACCAATGGTGCACAAGGGTTCCCTTTTCTCTACATCTTCAGCAGCACTTGTTTGTTGATTTATTAATGATAGTCATTCTGACAGGAGTGAGGTGATATCTTATTGTAGTTTTTATTTATGATGTTGATTAGTGATATTGAGCATTTTTCATATGTCCATCTGTATGTCCTCTTTGGAGAAATGTCTATTCAGGTATTCTGCCCATTTTTTAAGTGGATTGTTTGGGGTTTTTTGGTGTTGAGTTGTGTGAGTTTTTTGTAAATTTTGGATATTAACCCCTTATCAGATGTATCATTGGCTGATAACGTCTTTCATTCAGAATGATGTCTTTTCATTTTGTTGATGGTTTCCTCTTCTGTGCAAAAATTTTCAGTTTGATGTACTCCCATTTATTTATTTTTTCTTTTGTTTCCATGGTCAGAGGAGATATATCAGAATAAATATTACTAAGGGTAATGTCTGAGAATTTACTTCCTATATTTTCTTCTAGGAGTTTTGTGGTTTTAGGTCTTACATTTAAGCCTTGAATCCATTTTGAGTTTATTCTTGTATATGGAGTAAGAAGATGGTGCAGCTTTATTTTTTTACATATATCTGTCCAGTTTTCCCAGCAGCATTTATTGAATAGACTGTCTTTACCCCAATGTACAGTCTTACTTTCTTTGTCATAAATTAAGTGACCATATAGGCATGGATTTATTTCTGGGCTCTCTGTTTTGTTCCATTGATCTGTGAGTCTGTTTTTTATGCCCAAACCATGCTGTTTTGATTACTGTGGGCTGTAGTATAGTTTGATATCAGGTACTGTGATACCTTCAGTTTTGTTCTTTTTCATGATTGCCATGGCTATTTGTAGTCTTTTATTGTTTCATATAAATTTTAGGATTATTTGTTCTACTTCTGTGAAAAATGCCAATGTATAGATTTCACTGAATCTATATATTGCTTTGGGTACTATGGACATTTTGCCTATATTAATTCTTCCTATCCATGAGCATGGTATGTGTTTCCATTTATTTGTATCTTCTTTAATTTCTCTCATCAATGTCTTATAATTTTCTGAGTACAGGTCTTTTACTTTCTTGGTTAAATTTATGCCTAAGTATTTTTTTTGATGCAACTGTAAATGGGATTGTTTTCTTACTTTCTCTTCCTGATAGTTCTTTATTGATTTATAAAAATGCCACCAATTTCTGAATGTTAATTTTGTATCCTGCTACTTTACTGAATTCATTTATCAGTTCTAATAGTTTTTTGGTGGAATCTTTGGGGTTCTATCTATGTAGTAGCATGTCACCTGCAAATGATGACAGTTTTACTTTTTCCTTTCCCTTTTGGATACCTTGTATTTCTTTTTCTTGTCTAATTGCTGTGGCTACGACTTCCAGGACTAGGTTGAATAAAAGTGGAGAAAGCTGGGCATCCTTGCCTTGCTCCTGATCTTAAGGAAAACGCTTTTAGCTTGTCCCCATTAAGTATGATATTAGCTGTGGGTTTGTCATACATAGCCTTTGTGATGTTGAGATATGTTCCCTCTATTCCCACTTTGCTGAGAGTTTTTATCATAAATGGATGGTGGATTTTGTCAAATGCTTTTTCTGCATCTATTGATATGGCCATTTGATTTTTGTTTTTCATTTTGTTTATGTGGTGTATCATGTTGATTTGCAGGTATTGAAGCAACCTTGTATACTAGGAATGAATCCCACTTGATCATGGTGTGTGATATTTTTAACATATTGCCGAATTCACTTTGCTAATATTTTGTCGAGGATTTTTGCATCTGTGTTCATTAGGAATATCAGCCTGTAGTTTTCTTTTTTCGTAATGTCTGTCTGGTTTTAGAATCAGGGTAATGGTGGCCTTTAAAATTAGCTTGAGAGCCTTCCCTTCTGGATTTTTTGGAATAGTTTGAGGAGACTAGGTGTTAATTCTTTTTTGAATATTTGGTAAAATTTACCTGTGAAGCCATCTGGTGTAGGACTTTTGTTTGTTGGGAGCTTGTTGATTACTGATTCAATTTTGTAAGTAGAATTTGGTCTGTTCAGATTTTCTGTTTCTCCTTGATTCAGCCTTGGAAGATTGCATCCTTCTAGGAATATATCCATTTCTTCCAGATTGTTCAATTTGTTGGCATACAGTTGCTTGTAGTATTTTCTTAAAATTTTTCATATTTCTATGGTGTCCATTGGCACTTCTGCTCTTTCATTTCTGATTTCATTTATTTGGGTCTTCTCTCTTTTTTCCTTGATGAAGTGGTTAAAGATTTGTCAGTTTTGTTTATCTTTTCAAAAACCAGCTCTTGATTTCATTGATCTTTTGCATTGTTGTTTTAGTCTCTATTTTACTTCTGTTGTGATCTTTATTATTTCCTTACCTGTGCTCGCTTTGGGCTTATTTTCCTGTTCATTTCCAAGTTCCCGTAGGTGTAAAATTAGACTGTTTTTTTTAGATTTTTATTGTTTCTTTAGGTAGGCCTGCATTTCTACACATTTCCCTCTTAGGGCTGCTTTTGCTGTGTTCAATATATTTTATGTCATTGTGTTTTCATTTTCCTGTGTTTTAAGGTATGTTTGATTTCTTCCTTCATCTTATTGTTGACTCATTCATTATTTAATAGCATGTTATTTAGCCTCCATGTGTTGGTATGTTTTTCGTTTTTTTTTCCTTCTAATTGATTCACAGTTTCATACCATTGTGGCCACAGAAGACTATTGATATGATTTCAGTCTTCTTAAATTGATTGAGACTTGTATTGTGACCTAACATGTGGTCTGTCTTGGAAAATGTTCCATGTGCACTTGAAAAGAATGTATATTCTGCTGCTTTGGGGTGAAATGCTCTAAAAATATCAATTAAATATATTTGGCCTAGTGTATCATGTAAGGCCCTGTTTGCTTGTTGATTTTCTGTCTGGAAGATCTGTTCATTGGTTTCTGTGGGTGTTAAAGTCTTCTACTATGTGTTACTGTTGATGTCCACCTTTGTGCCAGTTAATATTTGTTATATATTTAGGGGTTCCTAGGTTGGGTGCATAGATATTTACTAGGGTTATGTCCTCTTGTTGGATTGATCCCTTTATCATTATGGAATGTCCTTCTTTGTCTCTTATTATTTTCATTTTAGAGTGTATTTGATCCGATATAAGTATTGCTACTCCAGTTTTTTTTTCTCATTTCCATTTGCATGAAATATCTTTTACCATTCCTTTATTTTAAGTCTGTTTGTGTCTTTCAATCTGAGGTGGGTCT